TTGCTTGACGTTCCATACACGATCTGGTCTCGTAGCATGGAGTCCTTTAGGTCGCCAAATCCACAGGTCGCTGCTTTCAGCTGAATATCGCGGTAGAAATGTTCGAAAGCTTCTCCTTCCTCTTGTCGCCTCGTTCGGAACACATAGCGTTCGAACGTCTCATTGCATCTCGGAAGGCAGTAGGCTTCGAACCTCCGTACCAGGACATCGTAATCTTGGGCTTCTTCAGCTGACAAACCAAACGTGTTAAATACCTCAATGGCTTCTTGCCCAGCGACGTGCAGAAAGATAGCGGCTTTTTGTTGCTGGTTGCGACCTTCCTTGGGCTCTGTAGCCAGAAGGAAGAGTTCCATCCGCTGCTTGAATTTTTTCCAATTCTCTGCAGCGTGCTCTCCCAGCCGCAGCGGTTCTGGTGGCGGAAGATCAGTCATGGTGCGTGGAGACTGAAGATCACTTCTGACACCATGTATCGTTCTATTACGAGCGCCTACGGATGATGGACTGTACGCCAGGATGAGATAGGAACGACTGACTCGTCGTCGTCTTTTATTCCCGCACCGCGAGGCTATGCTCGTGGTACAGAATTTGCTTCCCACATAATCCCACAATGCATGACGTGTCATTACGTCGCGATGAGTTGTTTCGAGTTTTGGAATAAGTGTATTCCAGAATTTCTAGAACCACTATTTCCAAAACTGCACGCTGTGCTGATTCTCGTCTTCGCTCAGTTGGAGCGCATGTAAGTATACTCTGTTTCACCTTGTTTTGTACCGCAGGAAAGGCTACAAGCACGAGCTCCTTGCTCTAGGGCACATCTCGGCGGCACAAGCTCTCGTGCACCAAGGGCAGCGGCCAACGCTATGAGCTCGCGCTTCCAGCCTTCGCTGCGGTACAACATAAGGTGAAACGGAGTATAGAAGCTTCAGAAATCCCTCCCCCCTTCTTCCCCAGTGGCGTCGAAAGAGGGGACGAGGGGCATAAAAGGTGCAAGGGAGGCGATCGCCCTAGCCCCAATCCATAGTCTCCTTTATAGTGCCAAAACATTTCAGAAAGGAATAATAGAATGTTCAGGGGAAGGGATATCCCCCTTCTCCCCTTCTATCCCACACCCCTCTCTCTCTCTCTCCCGATCATTTTCTACGGCACTTAAGACTCCTATGTTTTTGTTTATTTTTTTGTGTGTGTGTGTGTTGGTCGTACACGTTTTTATCTCCTCTAACCCGGTTTTTTCTCGAACTACTCATATCTTAAATACCACTAACGTCAGTAAACACTCCAATTCCGGGTAACCGCGGTAACGGTGTCAGTGGCAGAAGATGGGCTCTAAAGCAGAGCACCACCTCGCACGGCTCCACAGTATGTCAAAGTTCAATCTTCGACTCGATACCGAAGTGAAGATTTGGGCCCCAAATAATTCCTTTTCAAAGTTGTGAAATGTCATCTTGTCGTTGCCAAAAACATCCACAAACGTCGATCTTGCGACGAGAAAGTTCAGAGTATTCACAGCCCGCCTAGGGACAATCTAGTCAGCATTGACTCTAATGCGGCGAAGGGATGAAAGGACAAGCGGGCGCGACGTCATCAGTGCAGCCGTTCAATCGACTGGCCCCATGGTGTTGCTCGCGCGCGATCCTACGAAAAATTGTGTTGTTTCATAGCCTCCTCTATACTGATGAAGCCTGGCAGATCACCACGAGACGCGGGCACCGAAAGTGAAAAAGGAGAGCGGAAGAGAAGAGGCTCAAGAGGCATGTAACGGGCGCACCGCTGCGGCGAGACGCTGAAACACACTTGTCCCTCGTGATAGAATGTCCGCTCGTGCTTCTCGCGTTCCTCGGGCTACCGCTTCTTTTCTCGTCGGGTTTGAAAACCATGTTTCGCCGCTGCGAAAGCTGTGCGCTGACGACAGGCACCCCGAGAAATGCTCTGTGCTACCACATTCTCGTGCTCCATATCTGCAGCCGGGCACTCAATGGCTGCGTCAACGAACTGCCAGGCTTTGTGAGTATAGGGGAAGCTATGGTCGTGTGTATGTTTATACAGCCTAGTACTTGGTCTGCCTCAACGGGCAACGAGTCTCCCAACTGTAGATGAGAAATTTAGCTAGTGCAGTACATCTGCTAGCCTGGGGTCTTTAACGTGCATCACGCAGTAGTAATACACGACCGCACGCCGATATCATGCTTATCCAGATCGAAATGGGCAGGGGTAAGCATTGAACCCAAGATCCTGGGTTCTGCAGCGCGAGCTTTCGCTCCCTTTGCTCCGAGCTGGTGCGCGTTAGCTCACTCATACCCTTGTACACGCGCACACTTAACTGCAGTTACGCTAAGCCACAGTTAGCGCACAATATTTGCCGACAACATTCTGCGGCTATGCAGTCAAAGCTATGGGCGAACGTGCGCTTGAGCATCTTGATCATCCATCGAAGCAGTGCACGTGCGCTGTTCACTTCTTATGGAATAGCTGTCCGAGAGTATAGTGCGGTATCAGTGGTGCCGCGTAACAGCAGTTAAGCTGAGTTAACCGTGGTTTAGTGTGCCCCTGTAACAGGGGTATCAGCCACTAATGCCCCCGCGCCCCTGTGAAGCTCGCTACGACTTCCTGTTTCGGAATCTCGCTGGGATTTGAGCACCGAGGGAGTTTCTATGATTGACATCTCGTCTCGCGTGACGCCATCGTCGCAGGAGTCCAATCAGCACGCTCCGCGAACTTTGGACTTAACTTTGTGTTTGACGAGTTTAACAACCCTGCTTTACACGTTTCTCGATCTCACCTGCCAATCACGATTAACGAGAGATGGCCGAGAGCCTGCCTCTGGCCGCGAGCACGTAGCTACCGCTTGTTGGCCCATTATAAGCTCCCCCAAATTCCCTGTTGTTACAACTGGATATTATCTCTGGCCCCAAAAATATACAAAAAAGCCTTCTTCCCACTGCGCTCGGCCGGCACAAAGAAGGAAAGGAGAATTAAATTGTTCCTAAAGCCCTCTAAAATCCATTAAAAAGATCCCTAGATTTGAACAAATTTTCCTTTGTCCCTAAGCCTGGCAATTCGACGAGGTAACCGCAGAGTGCCCGGTCGCAGATTTAGAGCGGGAGGATCTGGTAGCATAGAGTATCAAAGAGCCATTTCTCGGCAAACCTGGACACAAGCGCACAGCTTCTGCAGCCGCGAAGAACCGAAACATACTTGTTCGATCGGGAGGAGTGTGTCTCAGCGTCTAGCCGCAGCGGGGCGCCTGTCACGTGGCTCTCCTCTCATCCGTTGTCTGCCGCTCCATCTTTTCCATTTCGGCGGCCGCTTTTCATGGCGATCTATAGGAGGCTCTGACCGTGTGGACGTTTATAGTGGCTAAAGTTAGACAGGATCAATGGGCGCCGGGTGTCTCAGCTGACGATGAGAAATTTAGCAGCGCAGTACAACCATTAGGCTGGGGTCTTTAACGTGAACCACGCAGTAGCGATGCTCATCTAGTACAATACTCATCCTGATCGAAACAGGGAAAGGTGGAGGACTGAACCAGGATCTCTGGGTTCTGTAGCGAGAGCTTTCGCTCCACCTGCTCCGCGCTAGTGTGCTCTATAGAGTCACTGTGTATTGCCAAAGTATCGCACTCGATTGCGTCCGCTGATATGGTTCAATTTTAGCTTTGATCGGCCATTTAGGTGCCAAGACATACACAATGGAAGGGGTTTCAGCAAATAAAAATAAATTTGCACACTTATGCGAGTTTCAGCAATGTTGCAGGGTCACAGGTGCACTCCAACCCCCGTCTCCCGAGCGGACGCACCGCGACTGACCACTGACCATGTTAGAACACGCCCAGGTCGGGACGCGTTACCTGATATTACCGTTGTGACATGCTTGTATAAAAACAATATTAACTGCGGAGAAAAGCCTGGTAAACTAAAATTTTATGAAAACATCACGCTCCTGTCGTTCTGTACAAATTGCCACTAAAATTTCATGAAAAAAAAAGCTTTTTCTGGTTGTTTTTACGCAAAAACATGCTGCCTAAAAACTCATGGTGAGAAAATAAAAAAAAATTACTAAGCCGCCATTTTTACGCTTCAAATCTGGGAGTTTCGGTACTTTGGAGAACTTTCAATGACTCTAGTGTGCGCTAGCCCATTCAGTCACGGATTCAGCGTCTATCACCAGTCAAGTTACGAAATCACAGTAAAGTAGCGCCATCGACTGCCCTGCACAACAGAAACAGATAACTAATATACAGACGACCAACCTCGCAAGGCGACTGGTTTATCGGTCTCTGTTGCAATGGCAATCGCCAGTTCGGTCCTTTAAGATCTTCGAAGCTATAAAAGGGTCGTTCTGAACCAGTCGTGCCAAGATCGCTATGCGGTCACATGGTACGGAAAGCATTCCTCGGCAGTGTGTCTTTGGTGCTCTGTTTCTAATCAACATATCAATCATGCTTATCTCCACAGATCTCATACAATTATATTGCTTCTTTTACGTTTTTCGAGACAGAAAAAAAAATATTTTTCAGTGTCTCTAAGCACCGACGCCATATGCGGTGGTGGTACGAAGACGTACGCTTCTCTCACCGGTGTGTGGGTATCAACATCTCCGTATGCAAAAAAAAAAAAAAAAAAAAAAAATCTTTATGATGTTAACTGTCAACAGGGGATCAAATCGGTGGAAAAATCAAGTAGAAATTGCTCATTTCGTGAAACCAAATGGCGGTCATACGGTGAGCTTGGCACTACATTCCCATGATCCAGCGTGTTTAGCCAGCAAAAGCGTTAGTGTCATATCTAGGCAGCCGTAATCCGAGAACGCCTTTTACCTCACTTTTTTATTCGTCGATATGTCTAGTATTCCACCTGGGAAAAGGTGGATCTATGGATGCTGAGTACGCAATGCGGCATGTTTCTCAACTGGGTAGTTTTAAAATAATAGCAGAGAAATGTTGTATCTGTATTTGTTGGCAGTAAAGCTGGGTCGATATAAAACTCTGCTCTGCTCTTTTTCAGATCTGATTCAGGGCCAGACTCTGCTGGATGTTGGCAGCGGTCCGATGCTCTTGTGCTCACTCGTTGCGTCCAGTCGATTCAAGCACATTGTGCTGAGTGACTTGCTCGAACGCAACAGGCTTGAACTCAATAAATGGCTGAACAATCATGAAGATGCTATCGACTGGACTACCCCTGCCGAGACGATTGCTGCCTTCGAAGGCTATAAGTAAGCTGGGCTTTTCTCATTTTTACCGCACTGGCATAGTACGGTTCCGTCGGTCTTTTATTCCATCTCTATCCTTCTTGTGGCCGTCCGCGTTCCTCCGTTCCCTTCGTCGTCGCCGTCCTCTTTTATTTCTCAAGCCACTACTCCTCGCCGGACTTGGGAAGTATTCCGAAGTCCGGACAGTATTGAAGAACGCCTTTAATTGACGTAGTTTCCATCCAAGAACTCATAGCGATATGATTACAGGATCGGTTACTGTTACTGCTCTAAATTCTAAATGAACTACGTTTCGGGTTTTTTCCGATTTTAATTCCTAAAAAAATTATTAAAATCTTTTCTTTTTTCTTAGAATATATTTATGGATTGGACTTGATGCGAAAAGCGCTGCGCTCAAGCGTGACGGAGAAGCGTTACACGCATGCCGAGGCAAGGACCGCTCAAGTTACAGCAGGCAATGCATAAGTGTCTAAACAGAAGTCGTACTTTGTCTTAATTAACAATACGTAATCCTAATTAGGCGCAATTAATTTTAACAAGCGAGTTCTATCACGTGGCTCAGCGGGCATCGAACACAGTGCGATCTGTGGCCCCATGCCTTCGCTCGGTGCCCCACGGAGGACACAAAAGGGAGCGCAAGCAAAAGGAAAAGGTACATGTAGGCTACCGCGCTTTTTATGGGTTATTCTGTAGAGGTTACACGTCGGTGTTGATTAAAGTAACTTGTACATCGGCTTTTTGTCTTTTAATCTGGCCCTTGTAACCTATAGTCTTGACGAAAAAACTTTAAACCTCAAAACAACTGCCTTTGTAACCATTATTTTATACGCTACTTCGGTTTAAAAGTTACATTATAGGTGACCGAGCTTGCAGAGCATTACTCACGCGGTCGCCTGCGTTGGCAGGTAACCGTCGGCCCGCGCAAACAACTTCTGAAGGACGTAGCGTAGCACCTCACGTGACCTCACGATGTCACGGGGCGAATTATAGCAAGGCTTCCGGGTTTATGGGGTTTATTTTAAGTCAAATTCGGAGGTACTTCTTCGGAAATCCTTTTTTCTCCACTGATTCGGTATTTTTCCGTGCCGATACCCCCTATAGATGCGCTGCGAGCGGAAACGAGATTTATTGACTCCACTAAAGATCGGGTGTCAGCTCCCACATTTGTTATACCATCTTTAGACACACAACGTCCATATCGATCGTCACATACATCATTCTCCATGCTATACTTTCAGCATGACAATTTATTTCGCAAGCAAGCACGATAAAGAAGGTAATCTGCACTTACTCTCGGCACTTGAGTGGCACTCACGTTAATACCATCGACGAACTGAAAGAAGCAACAACGGCGGATACATTTATAAAGTTCTGATTGAAATGACGACGGCAATGCTGGCAGGTTGCCTCATTGCACTTCCGTGGCTTCCAGCCTCGCGGCACTGTGACCTGATGCTGCGCACTGTGTGCCCAGCATGAATTCGACTGCCTTTTGTGACTTCCGCAGAAAAGGCCGAAAATCGAGACGTACTTGAACACCGCTCTCGAGTATTCCGATGAAAAAGGAAATGGGCTACGCTGATGCAGATCACTTACCGCGAGTCTAGGCCGCCGCGATGCCATTGATTCCCATTCCCCACCCTCTCTCCCTTAAACCGGTTCAAATAAATGTTTTATACTACTACAACTTATCGACATGCATCTTTCATATCATGATCAACTTCGCTTGCGCGTTGAGCACCTATTGTAAGCGCCACGATCGCGAAATCATGTGCTTCGAGATCTGGGACCGCGGGAAAAGGATTCCCGGGAAGCTGAAGGACGTGAAGGCACCGGCCGATCCCCGGAGAAGTTGCCATGTTCGACTAAGGAACCGGAGGCGGAGCGAATCCGTTATGATCGTGTGCTCCAACTCAGATCTGGTTTAATGATCCCAGCGCACTCCAAAAAGATCAGAAGAAGTTGCCTTTAGTGACGCATTGCCTCGCCTCGCCCCCCTTACGTCAGCAGCCGAAGAGGTCTGGCAGGTGGAAAATCGTAACATTAAGATATTTGAGAATTCCAGATCCTGATAAAATTCGAGCATAAGCCATGCGGGACAGCTAAGCAAGCGCCGGTAATATATGACATATGTATATCGCAGTTCAAAGGACAGCTTAAAAAAGAAGCCCTAAACTTTCCAAACGCTGTGTCATTATGTAAATTCTATATTATTGGAGGAGGCGATGTAGTTTGACTGTGTGCACACGTATGCTAGAGGTCTGAGGCAGAAGGCGGCTCGGTGAAAGGAACTAGCTCAACACCGGTAGTCCACCCCGTGGGGGAAGAAACCAAGCTTGCCACTGACCGGACACCAATACACCAAGCCCTCTCTTCAAGCACTAGACGCTTGCGATTTCCAAAAGTGCGATAACTTGTAAACCGTACCTTACTGACTAAGTGGAGGATTGGCCGTATACACAATAGCGCGTGGAGTTACTCATACGTTCCTTAAATATTTATTCATTATTACAATTTTTTCACTCACAGTCACCGTGCCGGAATCTCGATTCCCTTTTATACCATCACACCCTGGTATAATTAGGATTTCTCTGCACGCATCTGTATAGAGTGTCAGCCATCATAGCAACATTGATCACCACATCGTTGTTCTGCTTTACAGCGACGTCAAGAAGGGGGCGTCGGAAATAATGGAGCGCACACGCTCAGCCATTCGCAAGGTGGTCCCCTGCGACGTCCTGGAGCCCGGAGTGCTCCCCGAGGAACACAAGGAAACCTTCGACGTCGTTCTTTCCTCCGGATGCCTGGACGCGGTCGCAGCAGACCACGAATCGTTCCGAACGGTGGTCTGCAATGTGGGCACACTCGTGAAACCTGGCGGTCTCCTTGTCATTACGGGCGCGGGCGGTCTAAAACACTACACCGTGGGAGCAGTTGATTTTGCTTACTCAAACCTCACCGAAGATGTGCTAAAACAAGCGATTAGAGATGCCGGCTTTCAGATAAAACTATACAGGTCTACAACATTCGAGGTGGCTTTGCAAACTTCGGACTTGTTTAAGTTTATCCTGGTGGCCCGTAGAGCCTAATTCGGCTAATGGAACTGTGCTTCGCTTCAAACGAGATAGTTTACTTTGCCCGGTCCTGCTCTCTTACCTTCAACATGCTTGGCTGCTCAAATAAAGTCTTCATAATTCCAGGTATACATTTTATTTTACATTCTTATCAAAACTGCCGACTTTTCGTGGTCCGCGCATGGTCGGATAAGCTCGTCAAACATAAAGATCATTTATGTTATGACGTAGGGAAGGAACCGAAATAATGCTGCGAGTCTTTTTTTATTATCCAGCAAATCCGTTCATCTTTGTGACATTTTCTACTGAAGGGTCAAAAACCCCCTTCCACTCCCAAGGCTCCCAACAAGAACAGCACCAGCGAGGGAGCGAACACTAATGGTGAAATCTTGGAAGAAATCCCGTTCTTTGAACAAACACCGTGAAAGTTGACATTAAGCTGAGGCTAGTCTTATTTCCGTTAATGAAAGCATAATTCCTTGAAATGCCACAGCTGTCGTTCTAATCCTGTCACGCGGCATCAAAGTGTTGGCCAACGTGTAGCTATTGGTGACGTGCGCGATGAAAAGCGTGGCAGTGATCGGCTTACAACAATTGTCCAAACGCTCACTCTGACGTCTTGAGTGTGATGAAGTGTACTTTAATTAATTAGAGAAATCTAGACCTTCGCCACCCTAGTCAACAACAGCTAGAAGCTCTACGTTTCAAAGCCGATGTGTGTTTTTTTTATCAGGGGCGACAATTTGCACGTGGAGAGCAGCAGCTCTCTTTTCATCTACGGTGGTGTCCATATGCTTACTTCACTTTTTCTTCATCAAGAGGCCCAGTACGTTGACATGTGCCAATGGTAAACTGCATGTTGACCTTTTGATATTCCCTGGCGTAGTTTAGATATGCCAGGGTTCTATGAGAAGTCGTTGATAAATAAAATTACTCTTTTAGTCGTCAAACGAGAGCGGGGCGCAATCCAATCGAAACGCTTTTTGCCCGTGCACCCTCTGCAATTGTAAGCTTCGAGTTTACAATGACAGGAGAAAATATCTTTTGTAACAGTGCTGGGAAATGTAGGAAAGCGCATAAGTAATGCCGCAATAAAATCTGCTTTGACTTCATGTTTCAAAACCTGCTTTGGCTTTGACTGATGAATTGAGATGGTTATGCATGCATTTAGATTGAGTTGTTTGTTATTTTATAAAAATGCTTATTTTTCTTTCTATCCAGCTCGTGTTAGAACTACATCACGCAGAGGATAAAATATACGCACAAAGCTTGTTGTCGCTTTTTCAATTGACGCTTATGGTTATGGTACTGTGTTTGCTGGCAAGACAGGGCAAAAGGTAATGCGATTAATTCCTATGTACTGAGACCCGCGATATGGGCAGGGTGGATACAAAAAAACTAATAAAGTATGACAATGACACTAAAATGAAAACAGCGGTAATTGTATAAACCGTGTACTGGTGACGCTTTTTAGTTTTAATGCGTACGTTTCTATGGTTCACACAAAGTAAATGAACATTTCCTCGAATACCCCAGGACGGTCAGAAACAAAAAGGGCGGCAGTCACGGTGAAGTTCATCCTTTTGGCATAGAGCTTGGGAAGCACAGTGGGTCTAACCCGTGTAATGCCAAATACTCAAGAAAATAAATTTGAGATAAGATAATAAATACCCATTTAAACATGTAATTAGAGTAGTATTCAAGTTAATTGTAGTGCGAAGTATCTTGAGTGGAGTACAAATACTTTGAAAACGTAATTAAATTACATTATAACATACTCGGCAAGATTTGTATGCTGGTAATGAAAGAATAAAAAAGTTAGAAAGGCGTGCTTAATTTGTGATTACTTCTCTCAAAATCATATTTTGCCGTGATCTTTATGAACTTCAGAAGCGGCTTAGCTGCTGCAATTGAAGTTTACTCTAAAACAAACTCGTGATATGCAACATAATGGGTGTCGACATACTTTAGGAACAACCGTGATTCATGTTTCGTAGACATGGCGCCTGCCGTGTTTATTAGTTTGGCGGCAGGCTCGGCTCGTGGCGCATTCCACAATATATTTGTGATATGCCCCGCCTCGATTCGGTGATTTAACATGTAGTCTGGCATTGCATATCCATAACAGCCGAACTAGAGGTTGCCGCCATACTTATTGATGAGTGCGCGAGTGAAAGACACACGTCCACGCTCGGGGAAACACATTGACAGTAGTTGATTAACAATCAAGCTGTAGCACCCAACCGCGCAACAAAAATCTCACCCATCCACGAAACAAGTCGAGCGCAACAACAAGAGCGAAGCACACTAGGCGTTTACTCGCAGGCAAACGACGAGACACAAATGATCGCTTTGCTTTATGGCCAGGATTGGGAGACATTTGCTTTAGTTCACCGAGGAGCCCCCGGGTGGCGCAATGAGCGGACTACCAGCGTAACAACAACGCAGAGTGGATTCAGGGATTCGCTCTGCGACCTTCGTCGTCTCTTTCCTTCTATCTTCCCCCTCGAAGTGAAAGAGGCACGATCGTGAACTGGGTGACTGGTCGAGTGGACCAGCCGTCTTGCGCAGGACAGCAGCGTGGCAACAAAGGGACGTTTTGTGCGAGCAACAGTTCGCGGTGGAACTTTTTTTTTTTTGCCCAGTTTGGTAGGGAAAGAATATGACAAATTTTTTATTTATCCGTCGGCTCTGAAAACATATTTGTCTTATATAAGGAGGACCTCAAACCCTGGTCAAAGGAGGCATCAGGCTTCCTTCAACAGTGATCTTCCTTGAAAACTTGGCGTGCCTCATTGCTATTTTGTTAGCGCGTGCGTGCGTGCGTAATTGCGTGCGTGCGTGCGCGTGTGTGTGTGTGTGTGGTGCCACATCCCTCCGGGGTTGAATAATGATATTAATATTATTTATTATTATTAATATAATTATTAGAACACAACTCAAAGCTCAAAATGGATCATATATACAACAATGTTTTTGGAATGTGTTGGTAGCTCTGGATATCGGGAAGCGGGAACGTTGTTTCGAAATATACGTGTCTGCTTACGCGTGCAGCCCGGAGTTGGAACTACAAAGCACGCAACCCTCTCATGCGCCTCATTTGAAATATTCGACTCGGGGAGCTGTGCAATTAACTAGGCAGAGATTTTATAAAGAACACATGTAACGTCGGTGCTAATATACTATATGAATGTGTCAATGGGTAATGCTTATGTTCGAGGGCTACTAAATATTCTAACGAACGCTGATACATTGGACGACGCAATAATTGCTTGCGACCGTTTTAACCAAGCTCGCATGAATAAGGAAATTTCTCACCGCTATAATTTCAAAGCGGTGTTCTGTACCTTTGTTCTGAATATTATACGAGCTTGCCGGATTTATGTTTTTCATTCAAAAACAAAGGCATCACCACGCTCATCACGCGCTACAAATTATAAAGCTTTCTTATCCCCCAACAGTTATGCTAAACTAAGACGCAAGCTTGCCTAATTCTTTTGCTTTCAAGATGAAAAGAAGTTAGCTGCAGAGAAAAGGAGGGAAAACAAAGCGCATGCTTTTTGGCAACTTTTAGGGTTACATGGCCCTCAACAATTCCCACAAAACAAATTCCTTCCTCATGCTTTTAAATTATTAACGTGGCTAGTGAAGCTTAACTCCACATTCGATACATCATGCGAGCTCAGTTTGTCGGTGCTCCGTGCAAGCGTAGGCTAAAAGGTTCTCTTGGGTTCGCATCATCGTAGAACCGTCCAAGCGCCCATTCGCGCAGTCGAGCGCATGGACATAACCCAGTTAGAAGACAAGGCCTCCGCATGACGTCATCGTTAGGGTATCCCGACCCACCACAAACGGTACACACAGGTTCCACGAGAGTTGGCCCAAAGCCACAGACGCGTCCGCCTTGACGTCGCTGAGCCCTAGGGTCGTGCTCGTCATAAGACGCTGCGAGGTGCGCTAGCGACGATACTAACGCAAGGTAGGCGCGACTCCGTCGATTCATGACGTTTGGGACAGGCTTTGTTTTTTAGTGGACATAAATTCCAAACCTGAATATATACAGCGCAAGAGTATGTTAAACCAACCAGCCCCCCTTAATATTATGTACAACAATATTGCAATCCCAGAACAAAAACTCAGTTGCGCCAAACTGGGTCCGGATATTCCATTCGACGCGGTTTCATCGACCACCGTTTTATCGAATGCCATTTCATCGAGCGCAATTTTATCAAACGCCATTTCGACGAGCGACGTTTCATTGAAGTGGTCGCAACGAACACCGCCTACTTGAACAGTATCCGTGAAATAATTTATTTTTGGACCGGAAGGGTAACAGTGTTCTAATAATCATTACGATGTATACAATTTATTTCCTAGTGGAGTAAATCAACTAGTAATAAAAAAAACTAATTTTTTCTGCTATTTGAATTTTTAATAGTAAATTATGAATGACTTCTGTTTTAATGTGGCTCATAAAAACGGGAACACTGACAGTATTTCCTTTTAAAACTGTGATAATCGGTACGAACTATCGCCCTTCAAGGGCGTTTCTTCTTTTTTCGAGACGTAATCGGCATTAAGACGGAGCCGACTTTGAACCAGTGACCCGTCTCTATGTCGCATGAAACAGAAAAAAAAGGCGTATCTCCCCTACTTGTTCATTTATTGCAGTTGACAGAACCTTAGACCTGCCGAATTTTCAACCTATGAATATTCTCCTATGATATAATGAATACTCATATAAAGAGATAAATACAAAATAAAAAGGCGTAGCGGAGAATAACTGCATTCCTTTTCCGGAAGCGCCTTTCATGCTTGAACAAATAGAGGGAAGAAGTGGGAAGAAAGCGTGTAATGGAAAACAGCCGCTTACATCACATTACACCCACTCAAGTCGTAATATCATCGGCGTAGAGGGCGTGATAGACACCCTCTATTTCTGCGAGTTGGGCAGGGAGCTTCATCATCGCCACGTTAAACAACATAGGCGACAGAACCGCTCCTTGTGGCGTTCC